CAGTGTGTTAATCAAGTTCTGATCTGCGGTTTTCAGGGCTACCTAAAGTTGTCATCTAGGGGAAGATGATGTAGTATGAAATATCCATGTGACATCTTTTTCTTTTTTATTCGGCTTTTATGCCCGTTGTCCCAACTTTCAACATACACTTCCATAGTTGATTATTGAGTGCTGGGTTCTGTGCCTATACTATTTTTGCATTATGTGTATTGTATGGCAAGTACAATGATACTCAGCGTGCGCAGGGAAGTCGAAAATTCTTCACCGCACACAGTCCATTATTTTGTATTGGTATAAAAAGCGCAATTTCGTCTGCATTATTAGCAACTATAAATACTATAGATTCCATAGATAAGCGGAGGCACAAAAAGTTGTTTTGGCAACCATGAAAAATAAATGATCTTACTGGCATCCGTGAAAAAAGTTCATGCCATCATAGAGCTCTTCGTTGGGCAGTTTTGTTTTGTTTCGTGCGCAAAAGTTTAAAATTAAGTACAAAGCAAATATTTGCAACAATGAACCGAGGAATGGTTTGCTTTATCTTTCGTTCTTCCGTTGTGTGCAAAATAAATCGAAATGTGGAGTGTGGAAAGTGTTTTGTGCTCATAATATTACAATACTTCTCCTTCAAACAATACCATGATGACGTCATGCTCGTTTGGCTACACTAACTGACAGTTCGTTTGGCTACATTATACTTTGCCTCCGCTTATCTATGGAATCTATAGTATATATATTAGCAACACGTCTATTTATGGGCAGCTTGTTCTGTTGCTGTCATTGACGAGAATCATACGCTGATTTGAGCCACCCCTAACATGGAAAACAGACGCTCAGCTAAACGGTGCCCTCCATAGAGGAAATCCATTTGTTATTATACTGATGCAACATTTAAAATGTTCACTCCACAGTGCTTAGACGATTCCAAATCGAACGAAATTTGCCTCCCAAAATTTGGATTCAGTTGGTAAGAAACTGACTCAGGTCAAAGAGGTCAAAATATTTTGTTCGTATCTATCGCAAAAGCGGTGCCGGTGGTGTAGTGGCAAGCGTGATTGCCCCTAAACCCAGTAGGCAGTAGGCAGCAGGCCCAGTAGAGCACCAACATCATGGCTACTATGGCACACCTCACAATACAGTGTTGCTCACAAAACAGCTGCTTGATGATGTCATAAGATTATCAACCTCTTAAATAATTAAAAATAATTTTTAATTTGATGTTTGCCTGAAAAACAATTTCCCGCAAAGTTTTAGCTGAGAAAATATCCGATATGAATAGCTATAGAACTTTTCATCAGAACTATATGGAAAAGACTAGAACAAAAAGTTTGGTTTTCCCACACTAATTTCCATATAAACTTCAAGTGGTTTCTGCCAAGCCAGTTTCTTACCAAATAAGTTCAAATTTTAAGAGGCTAATCAGGACACGATTTGAAACCGATTGAGCAATGTGGAGCGAAAACGTCAAATTTTGCATGACTCTATTGGTTGATACTCCTACCCCAGCCAGAACCGTGGGAAAGAGTTACTGGGCAATATACTGAGTACCACTATTTTAGCTATGGTTTATTTTATACCTGCAGGTACGCTGAATAACAATTGTGCGCATCGTCTAATCCTTCCCCCCCTAGCCAGCAATGTAAATCAAATTGAACAGGTACAGGTTCGAATATTATTTTAGAATAAAAAGAAACTAGAGTGCCATTTAAAATGTAATCAAGCAGCGTGGCAAAAATTGAAACCTTAAACATAAATCAATTTTACGTCCTGCTTGCTATCCTAAATTATGCTAAACAATGTCCATAAAATTCCAATTACACTCCCACAGTGATTGGTGCAAAGGCACATTCAGGATGAAAAAGCAAAAATCATTCTACTGGAAAATCGCTACCACCTTCTAGTCTCTCTAGCGCATCTCGTATGTATCCATCCATCGTGCGTTGGTGGACGCCGCCGTCGCCGGTTTGGTGGGCGTCAGGACGTCTTGTCCGTATACTATTCCACTTCTTTTTCCTTTTTCTATCCTTCGGTGCTGCGCCGTTAGCCAGGACATAAAGTACCTACCGGGGTTCTCTATTTCTGGCGTGCACTTTCATTTCATCTCAAACGTAATCAAGCTGAGATCACGTCTTGTAATGGTCGTAAAAAATCGCGCACCCTTCTTCTTGTTCGGTTTTTTGGTGTGTTCTCTTCCGAACCACACCCTCTCACTTCCGGCGTTCCTTTTTTTCCCTGATTGCAGTCGACATCCACAGCGGAGTGATACTTGGTATGTGATATTAATCTGCATCCAGTAGGTACCCACTCAACTCGTTGGCTCGTTGGCGGCGACCCCTTATGAAGCGTAAAGAACGCAGAGAGCGACGGAAACAACTCTTAGGAATCTGTTACCATGCATTGCTAATCCACATGGGAGGGAGGGAACGAACCATGCCAACCTATGGGAACTCTAACGTGTAGGAAAAGGAAACGCAGCTGTTCGAGCAGCTGTGAAGTAGACGTGCTGATGAGAAATTGATGACTAACGCCTAGCGCGGATTATTCAAATTCGGAACAAGTTGCCTGGTTTCTTGGCGAGGCGAGGATTGCAAAACAACATCAGCAAATCGTGGCGATTCATGGTCTTGTGGTTCTAATTTTATCAATGGAATGAAAAATAGATACAAAATACGCAAAAGTCGCAAACCTGACGGATAGAGCAGATGTGTCAAGTAGATAACAGATGGGCCAAGAGGTGGTGGTGTCATGCTGATAAAATAGAAGCGGGTTTAAGGTATTTATTTTCGATTGTTTACCGATTTTTAATTCCGTTGCTGCTTCATAGACATGATGCATATTATGAAATTACGTCTTAGAGTTTGAAAATTATGTTTAGTGTACAACTCCACCTGCAGTACGGGAAGACTATGCTACACGAAACGAAAATTAATTATTTTATTCATGTGTTTCACTTATACATTTTTGCCAAAACATCAGCCTTATACATGCCATAAGACATACCACATACGTCCTATAAGAACGCATAAAAGGTATGTGTGACCATTTATACATTTCATTTGACACATAATTTATTAACATTTTGCAAGGCGTCTGCTTATTAGTTGACTTATACATTTTATGAATAATCAGCAATGGAAATTTGCCAAAAGGTATAAGGGGATTTCTATCCATGTAGAATTTTCAATCTATTCTATTATATATTACCATGCAAGTTCAGGGGCCTTAACATCAGCCTACACAGCAAAAAAATAATTTTGATATCACGTCAAAGTGGATGCACTACAATCATGTCGAAAATATGGTGTAATATTACTTGCTAAAAAGGACAAAATTATCATTTATACAATGCATGAACTGACATTACGCTGCTTTTACTGCATTTGTTTATTTATGTGGTCATAAAAATTACATGAAATTTTCGACATGATTGTAGTGCATCCACTTTGATGTGATATCAAAATTATTTTTTTGCTGTGTAGTAAGTAAAGGTGTGGTTACAAATGAGCAGTTTCAAGCAACATAGCAAAAACAAAATTATTAGACTCGACCTTCTCCGATTTACATCAAATTTTGCACAATTGTTTGTTATGGACAATCATTCACATTTGGAAAATCTCGTATTTTGTTTTCAAAATGGCATATTATAATTTTTCAAATAAACAATAGCATGAAAACTTAACTTCTAATCAAAATGACGTCTTTGACAAAGTTGTGGAGAAAAAAAAATATACACAGTACTTTTTTTGAGGAAAATTAGAGTAAAAAATCCAAAAACATTTTAAAAACTTAAATGCTAAAAAAATCCATGTGCAATAATAATGATTTAAAAAAAGCGTATGAAAAAATCAAACATTTGAATTATTCAATACCTTGAGCACTTTAAAACTGACAAACACTGTAGAACATCAACTTTTGGACAACATTTTGAATTTTTTGATCATAATTTATGCATAGGAAACAATATTTGATAAATTTTAAATCGTTTCTGTGCAAAAGTTAAAAAATTTGACTAAAAGTTCTTACATTCATTGTCTGTGGATTTGAATTAAAACTTCAAGTCCCCTCATTCAATAATGTATAGGTAAGGTAAAGGAGTATGCGTTTGACTTGTACTGTCGCATTAGTGGCCCTTCGCTGAAACTTTCATTCAATTTTCCCACTGCCGTACTCTAGCGGAACTATCAACCTATCCTCTTCAGAACTTTCTCTAGTTAATGAATGATCACATTGAAGCTTCAAGTTGATACTAGTATAGCATTTAAACGAACTCTAAAAGTTGTTGTTCAACGATTTTTTTTTCAATTCTGATTGCCCATGATTTTCAAGATTTCATAAGTTTGCATTTTTCATAAGCTTTTATTTGAAAATAATCTTAAATATTAAACATGGAAATTTGTGTTAGTAAAGTTTGAAATGTTTTTTTTTAGTTTTTTCACAAAAATACATAAAAAATAAACCTTGCATATTTTTCCAAGAAAGACATAGTTTTTCCCTACAACTTTGTTTCGATCAGAAGATTCCGTGCTACAATTTATTGAAAAATGTAAAATGTGCCGTTTGAAAAAAATAATAATGCAATATTCAAACTGGCCGAATTTTAGCAAAAATGTGAATGATGTCCATAACAATTAATTATGCAAAGCTTCAGGCAAATACTCCAACTCCTACTCCGACTCGTACTCCGACTCCTACTCAAACTCCTACTTCAACTCCTACTCCGCCTTCTACTCCGACTCCTACTTCAATTCCTATTCCGACTCCTACTCTGACTCCTTTTCCGACTCCTACTCCGACTCCTACTCCGACTCCTATTCCGACTCCTATTCCGACTCCTACGCCGACTCCTACTCCGACTACTACTCTGACTCCTACTCCGACTCCTATTCCGACTCCTTCTCCGACTCATTCTCCGACTCCTTCTCCGACTCCTTCTTCGACTCCTTCTCCGACTCCTTCTCCAACTCATTCTCCGACTCCTTCTCCGACTCCTTCTCCGACTCCTATTCCGACTCCTTCTCCGACTCCTTCTCCGACTCCTTCTCCGACTCCTTCTCCGACTCCTTCTCCGACTCCTTCTCCGACTCCTTCTCCGACTCCTTCTCCGACTCCTTCTCCGACTCCTTCTCCGACTCCTTCTCCGACTCCTTCTCCGACTCCTTCTCCGACTCCTTCTCCGACTCCTTCTCCGACTCCTTCTCCGACTCCTTCTCCGACTCCTTCTCCGACTCCTTCTCCGACTCCTTCTCCGACTCCTTCTCCGACTCCTTCTCCGACTCCTTCTCCGACTCCTTCTCCGACTCCTTCTCCGACTCCTTCTCCGACTCCTTCTCCGACTCCTTCTCCGACTCCTTCTCCGACTCCTTCTCCGACTCCTTCTCCGACTCCTTCTCCGACTCCTTCTCCGACTCCTTCTCCGACTCCTTCTCCGACTCCTTCTCCGACTCCTTCTCCGACTCCTTCTCCGACTCCTTCTCCGACTCCTTCTCCGACTCCTTCTCCGACTCCTTCTCCGACTCCTTCTCCGACTCCTTCTCCGACTCCTTCTCCGACTCCTTCTCCGACTCCTTCTCCGACTCCTTCTCCGACTCCTTCTCCGACTCCTTCTCCGACTCCTTCTCCGACTCCTTCTCCGACTCCTTCTCCGACTCCTTCTCCGACTCCTTCTCCGACTCCTTCTCCGACTCCTTCTCCGACTCCTTCTCCGACTCCTTCTCCGACTCCTTCTCCGACTCCTTCTCCGACTCCTTCTCCGACTCCTTCTCCGACTCCTTCTCCGACTCCTTCTCCGACTCCTTCTCCGACTCCTTCTCCGACTCCTTCTCCGACTCCTTCTCCGACTCCTTCTCCGACTCCTTCTCCGACTCCTTCTCCGACTCCTTCTCCGACTCCTTCTCCGACTCCTTCTCCGACTCCTTCTCCGACTCCTTCTCCGACTCCTTCTCCGACTCCTTCTCCGACTCCTTCTCCGACTCCTTCTCCGACTCCTTCTCCGACTCCTTCTCCGACTCCTTCTCCGACTCCTTCTCCGACTCCTTCTCCGACTCCTTCTCCGACTCCTTCTCCGACTCCTTCTCCGACTCCTTCTCCGACTCCTTCTCCGACTCCTTCTCCGACTCCTTCTCCGACTCCTTCTCCGACTCCTTCTCCGACTCCTTCTCCGACTCCTTCTCCGACTCCTTCTCCGACTCCTTCTCCGACTCCTTCTCCGACTCCTTCTCCGACTCCTTCTCCGACTCCTTCTCCGACTCCTTCTCCGACTCCTTCTCCGACTCCTTCTCCGACTCCTTCTCCGACTCCTTCTCCGACTCCTTCTCCGACTCCTTCTCCGACTCCTTCTCCGACTCCTTCTCCGACTCCTTCTCCGACTCCTTCTCCGACTCCTTCTCCGACTCCTTCTCCGACTCCTTCTCCGACTCCTTCTCCGACTCCTTCTCCGACTCCTTCTCCGACTCCTTCTCCGACTCCTTCTCCGACTCCTTCTCCGACTCCTTCTCCGACTCCTTCTCCGACTCCTTCTCCGACTCCTTCTCCGACTCCTTCTCCGACTCCTTCTCCGACTCCTTCTCCGACTCCTTCTCCGACTCCTTCTCCGACTCCTTCTCCGACTCCTTCTCCGACTCCTTCTCCGACTCCTTCTCCGATTCCTTCTCCGACTCCTTCTCCGACTCCTTCTCCGACTCCTTCTCCGACTCCTTCTCCGACTCCTTCTCCGACTCCTTCTCCGACTCCTTCTCCGACTCCTTCTCCGACTCCTTCTCCGACTCCTTCTCCGACTCCTTCTCCGACTCCTTCTCCGACTCCTTCTCCGACTCCTTCTCCGACTCCTTCTCCGACTCCTTCTCCGAGTCCTTCTCCGACTCCTTCTCCGACTCCTTCTCCGATTCCTACTCCGATTCCTACTCCGGCTCCGATTCCGACTCCGACTTCAACTCCGACTCCGACTCTGACTCCTACTCCGACTCCTACTCTGACTCCTACTCCGACTTCCGACTTCAAAGTGTGATATAAATCCCATCACAAGGGCTTGAAGGGGTGGAATTTTCATGTGCTTATGGGGGCTTACATTTCTTTACGTCAAAATGAGCTGAAACGAGATATACCACCCCTGAAACCTTTAAAATCAAATTTCACGTGTGCATTGCACTAAAGAACCTTTACTGTAACATCATATGACGCAGGTATAAAATAATAAGTTAGTATCTAACTTTGGACAAATGTTTCCCATATTAAATTTGCATTAATGTATTGGTAAATTTTGATTTGAGAGTCTTTAAAAATCTATGGTTTGCATTTCTTTTTTTTAAATCTGCGCAGACATATTTCGTAATTTTCAACTACAACCAAGAACAGGTTTTTAAATATAAAATTACACTTTTGATAATCTGTCATTCAATAAATTGAAGCTGTTATTTACTCGTTAATGTAAATTTAAATCATTGATCGTTGGAAACTCAATCAATTTAAAATTTACTTTTCACTATCATGTAAAAATTCAGATGGATGTAAAATTCAATGCAAATGAGTGGATTATTACATACTTTCACGAAAAATTAAAGTTTTAATGTTGTATGTTCCAACTAAGGCCAGAAAATACATTTACAATTTTACAAGTTGCTGTGTATGATTTTCAATATTTTGGATATTCAAAAAAAAAATTGCTTATGGTGTGAAGATCATGAGCTAGTAGAGGAGACTTAAACCAAAGAAAAAAAAAAAAAAAAACAATGCAAGATCGTAAATTTGAAATCAAAAACAAAATATATTAATCCTGGTACTTAATGGAATTCTTGTGAATTCTAGAACTTTTTTAAAAGCTAATATTATTGAGAGAAGGGTCATGGGGAGGAGCATGAAAATGGGTATCGTTGTCTCATCAGAAAGTTGTCGCAGGCACTTAAACGTTGTGTATTGTGACCAGGGATGATGATGATTATGATGATGATATGGAACTACCACTCACTGTAGCAAGACAACTGTCGGTTGACTGTTGACTATCCTCGCTGTGCGACTTGATCAAGTTTAATAACCTCTAAAGGGTGTCCACGATGAAATTGCCACACTATGAAATTGCTCTAACTTTTTAACCGTTGGCTAGAATTTAATGAAAATTTGGGTGGATTTAGTTCATAGTGCATTATTTACATCCTGCAAGTTTTAAAGTCCTGTGATCAAAACTCGCGGAAATGGAGTCGAAAGAACAGCTCGTGCGTGATAAAATCTTGCGCATTCATCGCGAGAACAAGGATCTCTCGCATCGTTCCATCGCTAAAACGTTGGGAATCGCGAATTCCACGGTGTCGCGAGTGATTAAGCGGTTCGAGGAACGGTTGACCACCGATCGGAAGCCCAGAAGTGAAGGAAAAAGTATTCCGTACGACACCAAAAATCACAACCGCGTAGTTGGGGCCTTCAACCGAAATCCGAACGCCTCCGTTAGGGATGTGGCTAAGAAGCTGCACCTAAGCCGAAGTTTTGTCCAGAAGGCCAAAACTAAGGATGGGCTTCGAACGTTCAAGGTACAAAAGGCCCCTAATCGCGACGAGAAGCAGAACAAGTCCGCCAAAACCCGTGCCAGGAAGTTGTACCTCAACATGCTGACGAAAGTTGAATGCTGCATCATGGACGACGAAACATATGTGAAGGCCGACTTCAAACAGATCCCCGGCAACCTGTTTTTCACGGCCAAGGATAAGTTCAGCGTTCCGGAGCATGTCCGCACTCAGAAGAAGAAATTCCTGGTTTGGCAAGCCATCTGCACGTGCGGGAAGCGGAGTGCACCTTTTGTGACCCAGGACACGATGAACGGACAGGTGTACATAAAAGAGTGCCTCCAGAAGCGGCTGCTTCCTCTCCTGAAGGCCCACAACGTCCCAACAATCTTCTGGCCGGATTTGGCCTCATGCCACTACTCCAAGGACGTGCTGAAGTGGTATGCGGACAATAAGGTCAATTTCGTGCCGAAAATGTTCAACCCTCCCAACACTCCGGAGCTCCGCCCCATCGAGAAGTACTGGGCGATTATGAAGCAGCACCTTCTTAAACGACCTAAGGTAGTGAAGACAGTCGAGGAACTGAAGAAAGTATGGGTTTACATGCAAAAACGGTTGATTCACAGGTTGTGCAGAATCTTATGGCCGGGGTTAAGGCCAAGGTGCGGGCATTTGCGTATGGACTGTAAATAAAATACGAGTAAAATGGTAAAATGAAGTTTAATAGTTATTTCTCAATCCCTGAAAATTTGATGGCAATCGGATGAAAACTCGAATTTTGCGAATCAATTTTGTGTGTGGCAATTTCACCGTGGACACCCTTTAATTGTACTCAACCTGCCAAAAACGGTTTGGGTTAATCCGTGGGAAACATCACCCACGTTCATCCACGGTATAAATGAGAATCTTCTTCCAACAACAGGATCATATAACCGGTCAAATAAATAGGCCATCCAACAGGAGGATGTCTCAATGAGTGGGGAGAAGAGCCCGCCCTCTCTTCCCGAAATGTTAAAGACAGGGAGTTGGGATTTTTCCTTTCTTCATCCATTTCGCTTCAATCTGGTACCCTGGTGAACCCTCCCGTACCCAGCATATAATGTTTCATTCATTCCAATAATGGAATTAAAGTTAAGAAAAAAATAAATGAAATATCTCACCCGATATGTTGCAAAGGAATCCATGACATCACGATGGAGCTCCCAGGAGACGAAGACGAAGTGCCAGCTCCTCACCGGCCGAAAAAACTCGCGACCAACGCCGTAATCAGAACCGACAGCTCCAGCGATCGAAAACAAACGTGTCTAATAGTGGCCATGGCACACTTCAATTGCATTTCTGAAACAGTGATCTGATGAGTGATGGCCAAAGTGCGGCACGGGAGCAGTACGTGGTACTTGGATCTCAATGATAGATCAACCTAAGCTTGAATGTCTTTTTGCATTACGAATGTATGCCGAAATAATTGGGAAATACGCAAAATTAAACTTTAAATGTGATCATCGAACAAAGAAACAGCTATTGAAAAAAGGGGCATTGGCAACGCTGCACCAGATGAACTATGCATTGAGCTAAAAATCTCGCTAATGAAGTTTAAAAAAGAAACTTAGCAACAGGGGACATCTGCATCAACTTCAAACGACTTCTATTGAGAGAACAAATAAGCGGCTGTAGTAAATAATTTTATCAGTGATTTAGTCGATTGATCATTCTCATTACTGATCATAACCAAACGTTCCATGGCATTTTAAAGCTTAACGTATGTTTATGATCATTTCTTCGACTATATTTTATATTTGATAAGGCCTGTGGACTTGGAGACATACTTCAAGTCCCCGCGTACATCGTACGGGTTAGGCAAAAATGTGCGTCTATCTTTAAAAACGGTCGCATTAATGGCCCTTCGCTCATTTACAACTTCTATTCAATTTTCATACTGCCGTACTCTAACGGAACTATCCACCTACCCTCTTCTAAAGATCATTCTCTAGCTAATAAATCATCACACTAAAGCTTCATGTTAGCATTTCCAACCAACTCTGAAAATCGTTAACTTCGCGTATGAAATAACATAAAAACACTTTGAATATAAAATATTATAGTCCATTGTCGAATCCACAAAACACACCACAGCAGCACCCTTAAACTCTGCTTAAGAAAATAAAAAAATAATCATCAAAATGTTCGTCACATAAATTTAACACGTCATCCTTTTGATGTGCATGAATTCGATACATAAAACTTCCCATCTAAGTGATTTGCGAGCCTTGTCAAGGTCACAACATCACCGTCTAATGAAGCTGAAAATAGCAGAAAACAATCCTTTATTGCTGCTGCTGCTGCTGGTGGTGGTGGAGGTGGGTGGCTCTCCCACACGTTACGTAAAATATGGGCTCATTCAGGTGTTTTTTTCTTCACAGCGCAGTAACATCAAATTTACGATTAGCATAAATATAAAGCACGAGTTATTTTAAGTATAGCACGAGTACCAGCAGAGGCACACAGGTGTGTCTGTATGTGTGCCACTCGGAATGTGAATGACTATGGCGCCCGGCAATATATTCTCGCAACATTACTGGTATTTTTCGCGTGATTTACATTATTTGCATACTAAACAGTTGAAGGAGAGGCAGCTAGTAATGAATTAAATGCCACTCGTGCCGCTCCACTAGGACTCGAAGGAGCACTTGTAGTTCGTTTTACAGGAGCAGCTGTCCCTTGTGCACCCACCGACCTGGTCGGCGTTGGTCGGTGCTGTGGGTAATAGTTACAACAAACAGGTCCTTCTTCGTTTACGACTCGATTAGATAGACCAGGTGGACGGGGCTTCCGTTCCCACTTTGCAGTGTGGCATCCGTATGGAGAGGATCCCTGTTTCTCTGCGTTGGTGCTGCTGCCCTTCGTGACCGAACCATTAACGAGCGTAATCAACGGGATTAAGTGTTCGGCTTTGCATTTGCATCGTTATTCATAGCGCAAATTGGAATTATGGAACACATAAAACAGCTCCCTATAATAAAAGCGCAAGGTTCTTGAACAGTGGAAATTTACCACCCCAACACATATAGAGCAGAAGGACTTCTTAATACTATCTGAAATGGTATGGAAAAACGTTTGCCCTCTGATTGGATTTTTTTTTATTTCATGGGAAATAGAGAAGCGAGAACAAAAAGAAAAAAACATACCCTCAATCCAACATGTGGGTTGTAAAAACACACATCACGCCCGTGCAGATGGAATGATTGCGACGGCTAGCAGAAGAGGCCTCATCTACTCCGTACCTACACATTCATAACGCATACCTCTCACGGCCTCTTTCTCTCCTTTTGGCAGCCCTAGATGGCACCGAAGAGATAGTAAATCTGAAGTCGTTGAAAATTAATTTCTTTCTCCTTTATCCCCATTGCTCTATGTTCCTTTTTCCCATTTTGCCTTCCAATGGATCGACTGGTGGGACCGTCCTGAACCCTATGCTTTGCTGCCTGTTCACATACCGCCCCTAGGTCATGGTATCAAGTGCTACAACTGTGATTCGACCAGCAATGAGGACTGCACGCAGATCAAGAAAAACTCCGGAATCATCTCGGAGGTAAGTGGGGCGGGCTGGGAAGCATATTATCATTTGGCTTGTATTTTCCCATATTTTAGGTTTTGATTCTATTAGTTTAAATGATGGATTGCGCTTTTATTTCAAATCCTGGATAGTATTACGTACAGGTACGTATTTCGACTACAATGTACAGTCCACATCAGAGTCATTCCCCTAGGTAAAATGTCAAGATCACAGGTAAAAAAATGAAACTACAACGTGTAGAATCAGTGTTTTGTGTAGAGATACGAATTTGAGTGGGGTTCTCTCACCGAAAAACCGACATGAATGACCTTACAAATTACCATGGCATTTCTAATCAAAGCACAAAACTGACATCTGCCGCCGTGTTCGCGAAAAATGTGTATCCTTGCCACGAGCACGCGTACAAAATGCAGGAGTTGGTTCATGTCTAATCTATCGCGGACAAATTATTTGTATCTAGATAAAAGAATTCTATGGTTTTGACAGATGGCATCACTGCATATTTGAATCGGCCATCCGATCAAGGTTTAAGTTTCATGTCGGTTTGTCGGTGGTTTTCTCCGTTTATACTCCTTAGTATGACATAGATGGCCCATAGCGACTCACGAAGAGCTACTGATTCCGATCAACAGCGGTGCGGCTTCTTCCTCCTTCTATGGATTCTCATGTGGGCTGCAGCTCGTTGCTTGCAGGCAGCCTTTCGTTGTGTACTGGCGAACACCACTACTTGAATAAACACCGTTTGGTGGGACCGTATGGAATTCAACTTTGAGATCTGTGTGGGAAATCGCTTTTCGCAGGCAATCGGTGATAATTTTAATTATCATAGCAACAGTTTCACATTCTAGTTATTTTAAAAGTGAAATTTTTAAAAATGATTGAGCCTTAAATTTAACAGGTGCGTAAAAATATTTCTGATCGATTGGTGATAACATTATTGAAGTTGTTCCAAGGGCAGCTGAGTTATTAACGTTTATAATCTTGCATAATTTTCTTATGTTTTACATAATGAGAGAGAGAAGGATTAGTATTTTCCATTTAATTCCACTACTTTATTTGCTTATCCTTGACAGATACGCGTATTTCGTCTACAATGTGCAGACTTCTTCAGTGTCTTGTACTAATACTCGACTTAGTATTAGTACAAGACACTGAAGAAGTCTGCACATTGTGGATGAAATACGCGTATCTGTCAAGGATAAGCAAATAAAGTAGTGGAATTAAATGGAAAATACTAATCCTTCTCTCTCTCATTATACAGGTATTCCACTAAGACGCCCACATTCATCAGGATTTATGTTTTACATTTTCGGCTTTCACAAAGAATTACAGACATAGTCCTTCGTCCAAAAATCTTTTTAATACCCCTAATTTCACCAAAATATATATGTATTCCAATTTTAGGGAAGCTTGATCGCTTTCCAGAAAAATTAAAAAAAACGAATGGTATGCATTTTCACTAAAGGTAGCCCACATCGAATGAAATCGATGAAGAATGAATCTTCATCAAAAAGTTGAAAATAGAATCTGTTGGGAGGAATTCAAAAACATCTTCCGGGGATAATTAAAATACAGCAAATTGACTGGCACATTAGCGCCGGATAGTGAGAAAATTTGTGAAGTAAATTGCTTTAACCAATCGTCTTTGACCCACTGTACAACTTTTCCGATGGCAGTTACTTTCTATATGGCCATGATCATGTGACCGTCTTACCCCGCATGATTTGTAATGCATTATTTATATTTTTTTGGGTCATGGTAAAAAATCAAAAAAAAAAATACATTTAGGTGAGGTCCTTTAATTTTATCTATTTATATTTCATTTGTATCACTGATTTACCAAATTCTCTATATTGACGAATAGAGTTTCCTAATCTTTCGCCCTTCCATTAACACAACTCTTCCTTTCCTGTGACATCTATGAAGATAGTATTGGTTCCCTGCACCTTCTTAAGTAGATGTTGGATTATCTTTCCCTGCCTTCCCCTGCGATTGTAAGGATGTGGCCAGGTGAATAATGTTATGATTTTATTTTTGTGTGGGGAAAATCACTAAGCCCAAGTGTCAACACCCGATATTTTCTACAACACGTATAAGTTGACCATTATATAGCCACCCACAATTTGTTAAATCGCATATGTTATGCTATGGTAAACAATCATAAAATTAGGGAAAGAACTCTAACGATCAATATTTTTCATGCTAGATTTAGCGTTCAGTTACGCGATATTTCATGTGAATTTAAGCACAATATAGCATAAATCTGCTGTGCTGTATACAAGCTTGTAAACAATGTCGTTGTTTATGCCAACTTTAGCATAATTTCAAACGAGAAGAGAATGGTTAAAATTCAGCATTTCTATCTGTGTACTGCAATCTTAACTACTGATTGGTCCAGTATTCAATACTTATTGGTATAATTTTGAGCTTGATTGCTTTTTCAAGCTTCATACAGATTCAGTCAATCAAGCTCAAATTATATCGATAAGACTTGAATAGTTTACCAAACAACTGTCAAGATTTCAGAAAATTTCAAAAACATGCGGAAAAGTTACAACTGTTTAATTCTTTTGATAAGAAAAAAATCGCAAAGTGATATACACACTAATCTACACCTCCGCCGTTCAGTAAATTTTGAACGACAGAATTGTTCGGTAAAAGTTTAAAATTCTGTGAAAATCAAATAAAAAGTTGATTGATTTCGAACTTATACAGACTGTGTTCAGTTTACTAGCACCGCATGATGAGAAATTCTTAATTCTAATTTAGTACCTAATCATTTAGCCAAAAAGCCTTGACCCTCTGAACAAGTTTGCCGAAAACAGTAACTTCATAGCTGGTCAAGATCTACTATATAACTGAGAAAATTCTGAACTACTGTCCACCAAAGAAAAGATCTTGACACTCTGAACAACTTTGCCGGAGACATTTACTTTCTATCTGATTAGGATCTAGATATATTTTATATGCGAGTATAATAGCGCCATGTAGTGAGAAAACTCTGAACTACACACTTATAAATAACTATTTTTACACGTGATGCAATCCATCTTTGACATAAAATATGAGACGTAAACAAACATGTCATGTAATATTAAGTGTTCCAAGACTGAAAAGTTCCTTGCTTGAGGAAAGGTACTTTTGATTAAGCTATATTTCACGTCTGTTATGACTCAAATTTATGTCAAAATTGACGCTCGTATATGTCACTCTCAGAGCACCTAAATTTACATGAATTTTTCTAAGTGTGTACTGTCCACCAGTCAAAAGGCCTTGACCGCATGAAGAACTTTGTCGAAGATAATAGCTTTCTATCTGGTCTGGATCTCGAGATATTTTATGCGCGAGATTTTCACGTATATACTAGCGCCACGTAGTTAGAAAATTATGAACTATTGTGCACCTCCTGAACAACTTTGTCGAAGACAGTAACTTTATATCTGGTCAGGATCTCGAGATGTATCACATGCGATAATTTCACATGTATATTAGCGCTACTGAGTGTGAAAATTCTGATATACTGTCAACCAGCGAAAAGGTTATGATCTCTTCAACTACTTTGCCCAGAACTGTAACTTTCTATCTGGTCAGGATTTTGCGATTTAAGTCAAATCCCATGTAGTATGGACACCGTTTAAAGGGTGTCCCACATCAAATTGCACCACGGAAAAAACGCTGTAGAAAATTACCCATTGGTTGTTTCCTCTGGAAATTTTGGGTAAAAGTAGATTAGAGTGTATTGCAAAAAGCAACGTCACCCATTGGATTTGCGCAAGCACCTGGACAATCCTCAACTCTCTTATCGGGACATCGGAAAACAGCTCGGAATCGTGCAGTCAACGGTGAGTTGTGTGATTAAACGTTACTGCGAAACTCTGAGCATCGAATGGAAGGAGAAATGCGGTCAGAATGAATGTTCTATTAGTGATCAGGATCACAAGCGTGTCGTGAAAGCGTTTAAGCGGAATCCCAATGGTTCGGTCAGGGATGTGATCGAAAAGTTGAATCTGTCCAAATCTTTCGTTCAGAGAGCCAATGACCGGGAGGGACTGCATACGTACAAAGTGCAGAAGGTTCCAAATCGTGACAAACGGCAAAATACGGTGAGAAAGTCACGGGCCCAGAAACTGTACACCCAGATGCTGACGACTGTTCTTCACCGCCCAGCACAAGTTTGATGTTCTGGAGGAAGTAAAGAAGCAGAAACTTTCAAAGTTTGCCAAGAAATACAGGATTTGGCAAGCGATCTGCTCATGTGGCAAACGGATCTAGCTTCGCGCCACTATTCAAATATTGTCCTGGAGTGGTACGAAGTCAACGGGGTCACTTTCGTACCCAAGGACATGAACCCCCCAACGCACCGGAACTAAGGCCCATCGAAAAATACTGGGCTATTATGAAGCAGGCACTACGGAAGCATCCCGAAGAGGTCAAATCTGAGGATGACATGAAGAAAAGGTGGGTTTCCGAACAGAAGAAGCCGCAGTCAGAAGTTGTACAGAACCTAATGAGTGGAGTTAAGCTTAAGGTGCGAGCGTACGGTTATGGTTTTGAAGTTGAATGAAATGAATATGCCAAAAGCTTACTAATGGGTTTTTTTTTATTGTCTGAAAGTTTGAAAAGGATCGGTCAACTAGGTTATTTTCTACAGCGTTTTTTCCGTGATGCAATTTGATGTGGGACACCCTTTATGCGGTATATATTGACATTTTCCGTATTTTCCGAATTTTTGGGGGTTTACTGTAATCAAAGTTTAGGTTGCTTAGTACAAAACAAGTAGTTTAATTTTTATACCTATGATCGTGACATTTTTAGATAGGGGATGAGTACTTAAGGGGGTTAGATTTATATACGTCTTTAGTGGGAATGACACTGATGAAAACTGTACATTATAGTCGAAATACGTATCTGTCATCGATACCAAAATACAGTAAATGGAATTAATCGGAAGATAACCCTTTTTGCTGTTTTATTTAAGCATTTCATCACTTCACTTCTTTCAATGTTGGAAGCCGGGAAGACGTTCATGAATAATTTTCTATCCTCACATGTGTGTTTCACTTTGGAATTTATACGATATGATTGAGAACTGATAATGCGTCTAGTAAAATACGCCACAAGAGGGCTAAGACATTTCATGTTGTTTATCAGATGAACTTGAAAGAATATGACCATCAAAATGAAATATTAATTTCATCAAAATCTCGGCAACATTGTAAAATTTCTCTCATTAGTTCATGTCACAAATCTCAGTAAACCTCATCCCACTATCGTTGGGATCTTCCGTTGTTGCTTTGCTTCTCTCTACGGTAGCACCTGGTAGTTTATTTCACACCCGCAGAATACTTCCTCTTAATCAAAATTACCCAGCAACACTGAACCGTATTTCAGCGGCGCGAAAAGTCTTGATTATACCGTGCAGAGATTTCTCCCGGCAAACGGGGAACAACGCTCAAATTAATTTGTATGAGCCTTATTTCTGCTCGTTCACACCACCCCGTTCCCATATAATAAATAACCATACATTTCGCTTAGCTGTTTCGCTCTTCGATAGGTACTCCCGTATCCAAAAACCACCATTTGCAGGAATATAAGTCTACCGGAGAAATGTTGTAGGATGGCGAGGCTAAAATTAATCTTCCTTCACGGAACAGCTAAGAGTTGCTTCCCTCGACCCAGTAGTGAGGACTCTGGTTGGAGGCTCCAAAAAGATTGCAATCGCAAACAACATTCAGTGTCAGTGAAGGGTACCGACCTGGTACCGACTACCGACGACGCCAACGAAAACGACAGCAATGGCAACGGGAGAGCATATTGCTCGTTACACATCTTTTTCCAACCGTCACCAACCTATGCTCATAAAAACGGGGAGCATGATAGAGGTCGAGGATGGCATAGAGGTGTACCGTGACAGCTGCATGAATGAATGCATGAATGACGGAGGAAAACAGTGTACCAGTGGCACTTCGCGGAACGCCCAAAGGTTTGTTCTAGCGCAAATCCATCAGTGGTGTAGCGACCGAAAACTAGGAAATTTTCTCCGCTTTTAATACCTATGCAGCTTGCCTGATCCGTCCTGGGTGGTGTAGGAAGGAGGCGATACTTGAATGTATAATACATTTTAACATGGAAGCGTATGGAGCCATGGTGAAAAGACGACGAGCACAGGGAAGTTCGCCTCAGCTGACTGATTGAATGGGCTGACTCCTTCGGCTGACTGACGGACGACTGACTGGAAGGCAGACAGAGTGATGGTTGCATGCCAGGCACTGCTACCCATGTTAAAAATTAAGTGCTTCAACAGAGTACGAAGCATAAAGAGCACCTTCGTACGCGCTGTAACGTTGTAATCCAATGTGCTTAATAGATGATTAATGATTTGTACACGAAATGTCAAAGGGCAGTGCATCGGAGGAAAAACAAGTCGAGAAATTAATCATTTCTTAATTTATGAAGTAACACCAATATAGGACACCCACAAATCTAAGAGATTGTGTTCACAATTTTGTATATTTTCAATTTCCAAGACTTTGTTGTTTTCAATATTTGTGTCCATCCCTGTTCGTAGTCCTCCCATGGATTTTATAATTAGATTCCACTTCCTCGCAGTAGCACCTAGCCACCCACCAGTAAATTATGTAATCCAATCTACTAGCACCAACTATCCATTCATATTCGATCAGCAATTTCTCCGGGTGAATTCAATTGTCAAGATTCTAATTACACACGGACTGCAATCCATTCAGCTGTTTCTGCTGGTAAACTGACGAAAAATTGATGAGCAATCCATTTCCTTCATGGCAGCGAGCGTCAGCCGTATTGAATTGTTGCAACCCCCAACAACAATGCAGAACCATAACAGAGACCTCGGAGCTCTCATTGGATGGACCCGAGGACATAAATCACGTGCAACCGTCAGCAGAAAAATTTGATTGCAAAACCGCTGCTGCTGTGTTCCTCAATCATTCCTACGTAATACATACCGTCGCGCGGGTTGTTCCTTGTTCTACTGAAGCATGCGGTATAACTTGTACCAAAGTTATTTCGTAGGACGGTAGATAGTACGTAGATAGTAGCACGCAAAAGAAATTCCCATTTGGCTGGAGTTGTGCAGTCAGTTATTTTACGTGAACACCCGACAGTCTGTTGCGAAACTTATCGGAAGAATATGGGTTGAAAAATCCCATTTCGGCCAGCCAGTAGCAGCAATCTGGTTGAATAATTGACGGGCGATGAAATAACCTTTCAAACACACACAGCCGTGTCAGAGCCGATGATTGAACACCTGTTTTTATCGAATTTGTACAAAACCGTCCGAGCGTATACTCACATTCCGGTTTCATTCAGTTATGACTATATATAAGCATATAAGTGTGTAATCGAACTTTACAGCAATTATTTTCCTATACTCTCTTCCCGTTTCAGATGTGCACTCCCAGCATAATGGCATCGACTACAGGCAATTGGCTCGCGGATTTGACCCGGATTGAGTACTTTGGCGGGGCGGAGATTACGGTACCAATGGTATGCCAGAAGATTGTGGCCTCCAATGGTGAGTGTAAAGTTTTGAAACTGAGTTAACAACTTTCAAATTGCATCCCAACAAGAACAAAGGAAGCAACCCTGTTTCCTGCACTTGCAACGTTCCGGATTGCTTCCAATATTATTTCTATGTTGACTTGGAAAGTATGGGAGATCATTTGACGGTTTTGCAGATACATATTCAGTTGAATATAAACTGAACGGCGCCGGTGGTGTAGTGGTAAGCGTGATTACCTGTTCTGGGGCATAACATCTCTGATCACGCCTTCCTTCGGATGGGAAGTCAAGCCGTTGGTCGACGGTTCATGAGTTGATGGGTCGATAGGTAGGGTCCAGGTGTGGGAGCTGCCTTCCTGGCACGTCGGTAGCATTGGTGCTCAGCACAGAAAACAAGATCGACGGAAAAAACAAACCGATGTGGTTTGCGTTCAGTACGCAAATTTGGTTTGGTAAATATCGGACATTCAAAACTCTGACAGTATCAAACTTTCAAAACTGCACAAGCTACGATAATTGTCAGAAGTGCAAAATCCCGAGCTGGAGAAAATTACTTATGAATACCTAATTATGATCCGATACCAAAATTTGGTGTTGATCAGCATGACATGAATAATACCAAAAAATTGCATGCAAATACTTTGTGAATAGCTAAAATTGATATTTGGATTCCAAAAGAATATCTGCGTGGTATTGTTTTGGTATTGCATTATCATAATTTTTTATTGATATAGAATTGTGGTAACATTTTTTTGTTATTATTTTTGGTATTTTACCTCTTATGTCAGGCTCATCCATACCAATTTATGGTATGAAGATATTCGTTCTTGGTCGGGCTCTGCTTTTCAAATTATAGTAAATAATTCGCAATCCTCAGGATCGTCAGGTCAGGTTCACTTCGGGATCTTCAATAATTATTGAAACTACGGTATCATCCGAAGCTGCAAGAACTTCGAAAAATCCTAGCCAGTGCGCAGTGGGAAAGGAATGGAATCTAGCAGGAAAAAAATAATAACACTCTGGGTTGCACTCAATTGACTTGACGTCTTAAGCAAAGTTTCTTATATTAGTTAGAACTATAGTTTTGATGGATAAAAAAAGTTCGTGTTTTTTTTTCCGAAAAGATAGCCCCGATACCAACTTTTGACGCAGGACTACGTCTGTGATTTTTATATGGGGGTACACTTTATGAAAACCGAAAATGGAACACGTAACAAAATTATGAAAGATTTTGAACGTTAATAACTCAGCTGCCCCTCGACCAATTTCAATAATTTTGTCACCAATCGATCAGAAGTAAACGCATCGGTAAAAATTTATGAATTTATAATTTTTCAAATATCACTATTGAAAATTGCACGAATGTGCAACTGTTGTTATGATAATTAAAATTACAACCGATTGCCTCTGAAAGGCGATTTCCCTAATACGGATTTCAAAGTTGAATTCCATCCGGTCTCACCAAACGGTATTTATTCAATAACCGCGTGGTGAGTGGTGGTGTTCTCCAGTACGCAACGAAAGGCTGACTGCAAGCAGCCCTCATGAGCATCCATAGAAGGAGAAAGAAGCCGCACCGCTATTGATCGGAATCAGTAGCTTTTCGTGAGTTGCTGCGGGCCATTTATGTCATGCGTGTCATACTAAAGAGTATATAAAAAAAGAGAACCCTGCTCAAATTCTTATTCCTACACAAAACACAAGCAGCTGCTGCAGTTAACAAATAAGATTTATTATATAAGACCACGTAGTCCTACGTCACCATTCCGTACAGCCTCATAGCTGAAGTAACATTTTAAGTTTTATGAAATACTACAAAGCAACTATAAAACAACATTCATAAAACCCTGGTCAAGGCTATTTTGTCATTAATGCATCCACCAAAACCTCATTAAAACTAGAATATGCCTAGTTGGCCCACCCTGGAGAAGGTTCTGAAGGGTGTATTCTCGAAGCTCCTCAAGATTGATTTACTGCAAAAAGTTGTATGACTAACACATTGAGAACCATTTGAAAGCTACAATAAAAGCTATTTAGCAACAATAAAAACCCTTTCAGAGCCATTTCCCCTAGCCGCATGCTGAATCCACTAGGAAAGCATCAATCAAGATAGAAAAGGATTTATGAATCCGATCTTATCAAAATAATTAAAATAGAAACTGATGGTATAAAAATCTTGTTGAATATCCAAATTTATTACAAAAGTTCTCATTAAGTGGCCTAGTTTTAAGTGCCATATCAAATTTTATGTAAAATGTACGTGAAAACATCGAAAAAATTAAGCCCACCCTCGGAAAACGTCAATTTGACTAATTATTTAACATTGAAAAAAAAAAAATATTTTTCAGATCGAGCTTGGCCGAGATTTTTTTTTTTTATTATTTTCGCATTTAAATGTTTGCTCATTGCTAAATTTACGAAAATATAGTTATACCTAAGGAAATATTGATTGAAAATCGAAGATTGTAAAAAACAAGCAAACTAATTGTAACATGGCGGTGGCATAAAAGTTGATTTTCATGGGTCATTTGTGAAAAAGTTGTTTTGCTTTCAAGAATTCCTTAACAAATTAATAAAGTTTTAAAATGGCTTTTATGAAGAAAACTTGCAGGCTGAATTGTATTTATCTAAAGCCATTTTGCTTGATTCTAACCCGTTCAGATTTATGGCAGCATTTATGGGGGCAAAGTTGCCTGCAAAAAGTTAAACGTCAAAGTTTGTTTATCTTTCGATAGTTGCGCTGTGAGATCCAGGATTCTTCCAGACGGTTTTATCAACAATCAATACGAAACTAACAATTTTAAAATGGCTCACTACTTGACTAGCCTACTGGTCCCAAGCAAACAATTAACGTACCCCATTCTTGTCAAAATTCTAGTACTGCACAATGTTTGTTTTGATTCGCTATGAAAGTTTGACAGATAAAATGAGAGGTTAGTGGATTTTCCTATGTTTCGAGGGGTGAATCGATTAGCTTGGCACCGAAGGGAGTACCAGAGCTGAGCCAAAAAGTTGAGCACGTTATTTCGGGACCTTCTAGTCTTAGAGTTACCTCTATGGTTTTATCCCGATGGATTGGGAGCAGTTACTCAGATAGTTTGCGATACTGTTTTACAACATTTCGCATTTCGAACAGCTGGAAGCGCAAACGTTCCCGAAAAAGATCCCCTTCTTCCGGTTGGTTACAGAAGTGCACCATCCAATGATGCAGAGATGTACGGTTGAATGAAATTGTCGAAGAGTCTTTCGTCGAATAAAATCGCTGCTTTGGATCGGAAACCAGCTAATCTCCGCTAACTAACAGTTTTAGTGGTTTGCTGTCGGTTGTTATTTCGATTGTCATCGCAAGATCTGGAGAAGGCTGGTATGTTTTTTAACTTTAGACAATGTTTTATGAGTTCGAGGGCCCCGCTCACTTTACTCTTCTCCGACAGATGGTCAGTCGTTGATGGTGTGCTGGTTCTTCTAAAGAAGTAAATTTATCTGAAATTGACTTGATGTTTTCATCCTACTTCGTCTATCCTTCGAGATTTCCTTGTCATAAATTTGGCATTTATTAACTATGAGGAACCATCTTTTAAGCTCAATTTGTAAACAAAGTAATTGGGGAGTTAATGATGGACTTTAAAAGGGCTAAAAAGCAACAATAAATGCTTTTTTCTCTAATACAAAACCTAATTGTTTTATGGTTGCTTTTATAATGATAGAACACGTTTATAAAGTATTTTATCCTGACATTAATAAACAATTGCTAATGACGTTTATGTTTGAATTAAAGAACAGTTTTAAGGAGGGATTGATAACTGTTTTAAATTTATTTTTAAAACAAGACAGTTTTTGACTTTCTTGCCAGACTATAAAAGGTTTTTAAAACAGCAAAAAGCTGAATTACCAAGCAGGAATGTTTTACACTTTAAAATGCTATATTTAAACTAAATGGATTGTTCATTGCCGTTATAAAACCATCATAAATCAGAGTGGATGCTAAATGGTTATGAATTGTTACTTGGGAGGGCTGTCCCTTGTTTATTTTTTATTTCTAACGCTACAGGTTTTTGTCTTTCTGCAAAGTTGTAGAATGTTAAATTTTATGAAAAGTTGCTGAAAACATAAAAGCTGTAAATCTTCTATCAACAGAGGTATACAATTTTTTGTAAATTTATCTGAAATTCACGTTTTTGGTATTAAGTTTTATAAATGTATTCAAATTAATACTTATATAATTTTTCGTCGATCGTTTTTGGTAAGGATAACCTTTTTCAGAACATCACTTGTATCTTTAGAGTACTAAAAAATAAAAATCATATAAAATTAAAAAAAAAACCCAAAAAGGTTTTTCTCAAAAAAAAAAAGCGCAAAATGTTATCACTTATTTAAAATGAACATCAAAAAGACAATTTCTCTTAAATTTCAGATGTATATTGAGATATTTGCATTTGAAAACCCAACTTTTTTTATGCATATAGTGGGCACTAACAACTGTGCCAAACTTGACCGAATTTTGTTACGAATTACGGGAGAAGTTTGATAATTTGTATGGGGAAATGTAAAGGGGAACGGAACAAAACTACACTGAGGGGCAAAATATAGTGCCCACCTAGGGGAAGGACAGCTCCAAGTATCAGCATCAATACCAGGATCTCCTGAAGGAGTGGTGGAAATATTGAATATTTTAATATGTGTGATATTTGCGAATCTTATGCTTAGTCTGACAGTTGTTTTGTTTTTGTTGTTGACTATTGTTGGTTTTAAGTGTACATCTGAAATTCGTTTAATCAACAATTGATTTCGCACGAGAGGCAAGTCATGGTGATCTTGCGGCCACCGCCACCGAAATCCGCTCTTATTCCATAAATTCGGTACACGGCTGCACTTCCGTTCCCAGGAAATAGTAATTAATTTCCATGAATTCTTCATCGTCTGCGAACCAACGTGCTATCCTCCAATGGAACGGGAACCGACTGACTACGCCGCTTCTGTAAACGGAGTCTCAGAGTGATGGTTCCGTGGTCGTACTACGCTCGATTCACCATGAGCCTGCAACTTGGATAGATTTGCTGCTGGGGAAACGTCCAGTGCCGTTTTTATCATCAAAAGCCGAAAACGAAAATCTAGGCAAAAATTATTACAAAAAGAAAGCTGCAGTATGTTTACAGCAAAGATAAAACGTCATTGAGTGTATGCGTTAAAGTTACACTGTTAAAAAAATTTACTTTGTTGATTTCCACTTGACAGTTAATATCATTAATATTTATACTAAAAACTATAATAACCATACCAATGTGAGTAATTTCTACACCAAATATTACTTCAGATCAAGTTGTACTTCCCCTAGGTGCCCACCTTATATTTTTTTGAATTTTTCTCATTTATTTGATTCAAATTAAAGTATAGTTTATAGACGTTTTTGATATCTTATTTTTATAATCTTTTAAAGTTTCACTAATGGAATACGAAAAAAAAGAGTTTTACATAAAAAAAATCAATTTGTATTGAATAAAAACAGTGACAGAAAGACACTCAATTTTGGCTCCAGAAAAGATAAATTAAAGTAAAAGAAAGCAAGGACTTGACGCAGGCGCTTCGACATGCTCTCCATCAGGTGATTTAGGTGCTGTGGATCCAGCTATTCCCAGGCGCGCTCCAGGGCTTCAAATTGTTATTTTTTATTGGTAACACCAGTTTTGTCAATCCATAGAGAATCACCTTCAAATTCTCGATGGGGTGGAAGAAAGACTTGGTCTTCTAGGCAGTATACTGCAGGTCGTAGTCCTGATGAAACACGAAATTCTCTTCAAGGCCCGTCTGGATCAGCGAAACCTCCAGATTTTTACCCGCAGGATGTTGATGTAGGAATCTGCCGTCATTATCCCGTTGATTTCCACGAAAAACACACCCAGACCATCACATTTCCTCGTCCATGCTTCATCGTGTCTTGGGTGTGGCGCTCCTGAAGCGTGGAAATCTGGATAAACACTCCGGGGAAAGTCTACAAAACTTTCGGGGAAAGACAGAATATAATTTTAGAGGATAGCATAAAACTACACGGAGGATTTTGTTAAAAAAAAAACTTCCACGGGACGTTGCAAAAGAAATCGAGAAACTTCCGGAAGCATCGGAAGATCGTTTCAGTGGAAGTTAACAAGATATCTATGGTAATTTGGAAAGGAAGCTCCAGGAGAAGTGGAATGAATCTTTTTAGGGAAGTCAGATGCTACTTCCGGGAGAGGTCAAAAATAACATCATAGGAACGGAGAAGCCAGAAGAACGACTTCTCGGAGTTGTCGAAAGAAACTTTCAGGGAATATTGGAAGAATCTCGCTTTGTTGATGGAAAATTGTTTGAGAAGTTGAAGGAAACTTCCAAGGAGAATCGCAAATCCTTTCCGAGGGAAACCCGACAGAATTCTCGAAAATACTTCCGGAGAAAGTTGAATTTTTTTTTGGAAATCATAGGAAAAAATTCCAGGCAAATATTGGAAAAATATCTGGGGAGAAGTCAGACAACGTTCCGGCAGAAGTTGGAAAAATCCGCCATGCGAAGTCACAAGAAACTCCCGTGAGAATTCTGAAACAACTTCCTGTGTAAAGCTCGATTCAAAGTAAATTTGGACGCATTCAAGTGATCATAACTCAAGAATTAAACAACATGCACGGTTGATCAAAACGTCAAATAAAAGGGTATTTATTCGGCTTTCAAACGATATATAAAAAGTTATTAAATTTCACCGTTTCGAACGAACTGTCGCACTTTACTTGTGATCGATGCCATTATGATCTGCACATCAAAGTTTTCGCTTGACAATTGCTCAATAGTTTTCGATCGGTCTGAACTCAGGGCAATCCGGAGGATTAATCTCTTTGGCGACGAAATTAACATTGTTTCCAGCATACCATTCTAGTACCTCCTTAGAGTAGTGGCAGCTGGCTAGATCCGGCCAAAACATAACGTTGGTCTTGTGTTGCCAAATGAAGGGTAAAGTCCACTTTTTCAGACACTCTTTAATGTAAACCTCCGACGTCATTGCGTGAGATGTGATGAAAACCTTGGTTGCAGATTCCTTGCCAAATCATTAGTTTCCGGGCAAACTTATCAGCAAAAACAAATTTATACCTGGAAGGGACATCATCACGACCAGTTGTCAGGTAAAATTTTCGTTCGGGGATTTGTTTATAATTCATTTTGACATATGTGACATATGGATGACGACATCAAAATACAGCCATCAAATTTCGTCAAAACTAGTTCGTATAGTAATCGTGCTCCTTTTTGGTCACTAAATTTTGTTTCAGGGAGCGATTCGGATGTTTACTGGCACAAAAAGACTTATATATCCTTCTCTTGAAAGGATGTTCCGCACGGTGGAAAAGTTGGAATCGTATTTCTTTGCCAAATCACGTATGGAGACACATGGGTTGCTTTTCACGTAGCTCAACACCTTTCTCCTCAGCTCTTTGTCACGAATGGTTCTCTAGATGTTTGTGCACAATTAATTTGCTTTTCTCAAGTTCCATGATCCGTGCCTGCCTGTCAAACGTTATTTGTTCCAACCACCAGGGGCGCGGTGGTGTATTAAACCGTGCGTCCAGATTTACTTTGAATCGAGCTTTAGTTAGACCAAGTGAGACTGTACCAGCGGAAGCTGATGCATCTTCTAGTTCCTCTGACGCGACGTGAAAACTTTGTATTGGTGCGGAATAACAAGTTATATGTTATAAAACTAATGCTGAGCACGTTCTATGGCAATGTTTCTCAAACTATGGGTCACACTAAGTTACCGTTTGCCCGCAATCGGCACCACGTAGTTGTTCGTACTTCTTTTTTTTTCGTTTTAAAATTGCTCAACTCCCTACTGATCCAACTTCCTGGTATGTGTTTTCAGAAAACGGTGACACAATGACGTACCGCGGTTGCCAGTTGGACGGAGGCAAGACGGATCCCTGTCAGATCGCATTCGGCAAGGCACAGAAGCAGCGTGGCGTTAACATCGAGCACTGTTCGATCTGCAAGGATGACGATTGCAACGGTGCCATCAGCAGAGTCCTCGGAGGACGCACCGCGCTAGCCCTTGCCACGGGAGCCACTCTGCTGGCCACGGTCCTCAACAATAGAATATTCGTTTAAGGTTGTGTAAGCTTGTGGTAGGCGATGCATGTTTCAACGCTAGAGAATAGATCGGTTTTTATATGACATACAATGATATTCACGTTTAGCGAAAATAATATGAAAAGTTATTATACTAATAAAAACAAAAACACTTACTGTGTAAATAACCAACTTGTAGAGTGTAGATTCGCTTGATCTTTATAAATTAATCCATAATATGGTTATTGCAGTGTTCTTGAATGTCTTTAGAATTTCAATAGTTATTAAAAGTAAACATATATGCATCACTGGTGAAAAATCGATAAACAAGCCCAATATAGAAGTAAGCGAATTATTAAGATATTGAATTACGAGGTACGAAGGTTCATCGTAAACACGTCACGTATATATTGAAATATATTTAATTAACCGATAAATATATTCACGCATATGCCTTCATTGTGAGCCCGCAAGGGAAATGTACATTTTATTTGTTATGTTAAGACAACTCGTTCGGTACATGGTGTCTACTGTAAGCACGCAGATGCTGAAATGGTGATTCAAAACGCTATAAACATATAAATAAAATCACCTAACGTTAGGCAGATTACTGTTTGTAACATACGAATAATCACAGATTATACTTAGCTGTACTATAAACATTAAGGAAAAGAAATTAATCTAAACCGCTCGGATTTTTTAGACGATAGTCAAAAAAAAAAAAAAAAAAATAAAAAAAAACATTCACTGACGCATATCTGCTGATCAGAGTCAATGGTAAGTTTAAAATCTCATCTCAAATCAAAATACTCCACTATGGTTTATTTCGTCTTTGCACCTACAGCAAAATATGTTCCGCTATTGGAAAGAAAAAAAGAAATCAAAACAGAATCAAATATCTACCGTTATCTCTAACCAACCCAGTTTCTCATTGAATTTTGAACATACTTGCACCTAAACGAATTCTAGACTCATGCAACTACAATAGACGATAAGAGTTTGTTTGAAAGCATCACTTTTTCTTAGCATTTCTAACCGAATAAAAAAACTTGAAATAACTAACTAACAATATGCAATATAAAATATAGTAACATTTGACAAATAATGGAATAATGGTTAGTGAAAGTAGAACGAAGCAGAAGTAGGCAGTCTATGTAAAGTGGAAATAGGCAAACTTTGTATTAGGACTAACCACAGAGTGACAGAGCAGGCTGGATGGCATTCGCAATGTTAATGACAGCGTCACACTGAAAGGAAACAAAAAAATCAACGTATTGTCTAAATTTCCTATAATAGAGTTAAAAGCTGTAACAATCCCCAGAAAACAAAAAAACAAACAAACAAACAAACCGTCTAAGTGAGAAAAAAAAATCAAACCCCTCTAACCGGCCTGGTTAAAAACATTAAAAAAACGGAAAAGTCGTCGCACGATAACTACGACAGCAACAAAGCCGGTCAGGAGAATGATGAGCAGAAATAAAATCACTGCACATTTACAGAAGGTAAGACCACAACAACAACAAAAAAAGCACACCAAATCAAGGCTGATTTTCATTGATATCTTATCACAACCCCGCGTAATGCCTTTCCTGTAAGCTTAGCTACCAACGTCGACAGTGGTATTTAATCATTTGTATCTTGTTCAGTTGATTAGCGTTCGATCGACTTTTTATGGCCATGCACGCGTATGGCATCCGGACTAGGTTTTAACGTTTTCATGGGTAATATATTCAGCTTGTAAATAAATGTTTAGCCAGATATGAGACCACTTTATCGCAAACTTTTTTTTCCTGGCAAAATTGTTAAGAGTCAACACTGGCATTTCAGGTGACGTGACACGCAGATGTTTGGATTGTTAGCTCTTTTTTCTTTTAAAACTCATAATAAATTTTATAATATAGTAATGTTATGTGCACCAATACGTCATTTTCCAATCAATAGTTATACATATAGTTAAATTCTACTAGAAGTAAGACGTGACTACGACACCTAAGAACAGCAATTTGTCTATTTTCTGATATTACTCACAAAAGTAAACCTCAATTTATAGTAATAACAACACAGACAATAAGATATGTAGTTGAAAAGTCGTACTTCTTCAAGTTCATGAATCATTTGTATGACGGTTTTAGTAACCTCGTATATTATTTTGTTGATAGAAGTTAAGTGAAGTATTGTTTGAATTTTATCAAGTGCCGTCCAACGATGTTTTAAAACGTTACAACAATGTTCAGTTGCACTGCGATACCTTGCTGTCACCAGTAAGGTGGTAGAACTTCATTTTTAAAAAGCGATAGGTTTCTTACAGGTCACTCCCCACTTTGATTCATGTGTTGTTGTATTAAAAAAAAAAACGGTAAAGATTGATGATGGATTAGAGGTCGTGCAAATGGTTTGAAATGTTACTGTGGAAGCCTTTCAATTTCACCTACCGTTCCGATTCAAATTTCGGACGATTCAAATTTCGGACACTTTAATTTTAAATTAAATATTACATCCAGTTAGAAACAAAGTAATAATGTTAGATGATCGTGGAGGGCATTAGTCAAAAAAATTTAAAATTTACAAGACATGTGGATCATATTCGACCGAGATAATCAACTTTTAAAAGTGTCCGAAATTCGAGTTTAAGTGTCCAAAATTTGAATCGGCACGGTATATCGCTCTAACTTCAGTTATAGTTGTCCAAATGCTGAAAAAAAAATCTAGTTGCTATGACAATGATCAACAACCCTGTTGCTGTTATGGTTAGTTTGGCGGCAATTCAAGAAGGATGGGAATTTAAAAAAGTAGAAGGGTCTGTGCCTAGGGGCACGAACGGAAGCTTGACGTAGGACCGCTAGTGGACGGAACAAATTTGAAAATTTAGTTCTTTTAATTGATCAATCATCAATTATCTTAACTCTTTCCGTTTTTTATTTGTAAGCGTATCGAATTTGTAGTATTTATTTCAAAGAGAAAGTTGATGAAGAGAATCCAAGGGACTGTCAACTTGAGTATTTTCGATTCATCTACCCGACTTTAAAAGGTGTATTTTGAATTTTTTTGTTATATATGTTTTTTTTTTTTTCCTTTATTAACGAGACTTTCAGCCTTAGGCTGGTTCATCTCTAATATATGAATTTTTAAGTTTTGTGCATTTTGGTATTAGAGTGTATTCAATTCACCCCTAACAGGATTTCCTTCCTAATTATATGAAAGGGGCGGGGCGGAAAGTATCGTTTGTGCAGAATATGTAAAAAAGGAGGGACTTCAAGAGATTGCACTCGTGAGAGCTAATTTTCTCACAAATTTGATTTTATTGGCTTTCTGGGGACTGAATATACACCCAAAGCGAATTATTCCCACTTCTCTCAAATTCTATATGGATTTTTAACACTTCCTATCAGCGTGTTCTGGAAAATGGTCAGACGATGATTAATTTCACCAATACATTCGGGCCTACAATTCCACACCTTCTATAGATACCAAGTTGAGCCTTGATAGCTAGCTGCTTTCGGGAACTGATGACCTTGACAAATTTCCAAATAATAATCTTAACAAATTTATGGTGGTCCTGAAAAGGACCGTTTTGTAGTGATGGTTGAATAATGCTGAGCTGAGCACGACAAGCTACTGATTCCGATCCTAGCCTAGCGGTGGGACTTCTTCCTCTATCTCTATGGTTGCTCATATGAGCTCTGCAGCTTGCTGCTTGCAGGCAGCCTTTCGTTGTTGTTGTTGTTGAAAGCACTCCTGCTGCTGCTGCTGCTGCTACTACTGTTGCTGCTGGACTGGACACCACCACTTACGGTGATTGAATGAGCACCGTTCAGTGGGACCGCATCGAATTCGATTTTTAAGTCTGTGTTAGGGAATGCGCTGTTTTCAGACATTCGGTGATAATTTTGATCACCATTGCAACAGTTGGACATTCGGTATTTTTCAATAATGACCTATTGAAAATTAACTAATTGTTCATTTTAGCAGATTGGTAGATAAATTTTGAATCGTTTGGCTTGTTTAGAATTAAAATCTATCTGCTATTGGTCAAAACCTGACCTCTTTTCGTAATGCTTTGCATTTTGGTTTTTTGAAATTGCGTGGATTCTATAGATCCTGTGGAGATCTATCTAGCCCTGATATATGTGTTGGTAGAGGGAAAAATGTAAAATTTGCGGGAGACGATGTCTTGACACTCGAAAGCAATTTTGTGAAATATGAACTAAAACAAATCCTAGCTAGTTCTGCTTGATGATTTTGTTTGATTTTATTTATTAGTAAAGTCACCGGGAAATACCAGTTGGCGCTTTGTTTTTTATGATAACTCCTTACTTGAAAACAGGCAAAAACTCACAAACAGGCTGCCTTTTCATGGTATACAGTGTGATGATTCAATAATCAATAAATTATCTCAACATTTAGTTGCAAACCAGTCATAAATTTTGGTAGCATACAAAATATTCTATAATCCACATTAAATTTCACATGTAAGCGCTGATTGAAACAATCTTTACGACGTCACTACAAGGATGATTGATTAAACGAAAGAAACGAATCGTGCGGAATGAAAGCTGAGGGAAAACTAATTGCACCAATATATTCAGGCCTACAATTCCACACCTTCTATAGACAGGTTGAGCCTTGATAGCTAGCTGCTTGCGGGAACTGATGACCTTGACCAATGTCCAAATAATACTCTTTAACAAATTTTTGGTGGCCCTGAAAAGGAACGTTTTGTAGTGATGGTTGAGTAATGCTGAGCTGGGTGTTCAACACGGATGAGGCTGTCGAGCTGTATGTCGTTTGGAACGAGGGTGACACGCTTGGCATAGATGACCGACCCGCAGTGACTCACGAAGAGCTACTGATTCCGATCCATAGCATAGCGGTGCAGCTTCTTCCTCCTTTGATGGTTGCTTATGTGGGCTCTGCAGCTCGCTGCTTGCAGGCAGCCTTTCGTTGTTACTGGAGAACAATTTTCAATGCCACACGCCGAAAGCACTGCTACCGCTGCTACTAATTTCGACGACCGAACATCACCACACAGTGGTGTGGTCGTTGGGAGCGTGTGGTTCTGAGTATGGCGATGAGTGTGCAAAATATTACGCAATTCCATCCTCCCTATTTGCACGTGCCCGAGGATCGGAGGTGAATGCCACTTCGACTTGTTTCGTCTACTTACTACTCTCTGACGACTGTACTGGGGAAGCAGCATATGCGTGTAGATAATTGGTGGATTAGTTAGTTAATTCGACGGTTTTGGACAATGCTGGACATTTACCAGTTTTTCAATAGTTTCTTGTTAAAAATCAACATTTAGAAGCATTGTTATCGATGCGTAGCCATATTTCTGATCGATTATTGATAAAAATATTAAAATTGGACCAGGGGCAGCTGAGTTATTACCGTTCAAAATCTTTCTTAATTTGTTGCATGTTCCATTTTTGGTTTTCACAAAGTGTACCCCCATATAGAAATCAAAGACGTAGTCGTACGTCAAAATGCCAACATGCCATTTCATCACAACAACAGGCTTGTTAATCGTTTTCATGGAAACGACATATTTTTTTAGCGTTTTTATTTCTAGAACCAAAAGTTGAGCGACGTAAGTTAAATTCAATACTTTCCCATAGTAAGTCGTTAAAATTTCCATATAAACTTGAAACTATTTGCGCGACATCTAAACCTTCATCAATCTTTACCATTTTTTGCATAGATTCATATTTTGGGGTTATGAATCAAACTGGAGGGTGCAACTCAGCATTGCGAGAGGTGCGTTTCTGTTCTAGTTTCAAATTGAAACAGTCCTTCTTATAAAATACAACAGCATTGCGAACGGCCTAACCCGTCGTCGTTGAACGGAAAAAAGGGAACTCGGTGGGCAATTTTGTGATAATGAATTTTCACTGCAAATCAACCGCGAATTCACGAATTTCGCCACACCCAACTGCAAAACATGTTCAGAAGCGCTTTTGGTACACTTTCGATATAAATTTCGTTCGAAAACACTTAATTTTTTGCAAAAATAGTAGCAAGTGAACCAACATCAACACCGATCGTGCCGAGCTCTTTCACGCACCTTGTAGCGCGTAAATGTATTAATTGTTTGAAAATAAATAAAGAACGTAAAATGAACTTGGACGTCAACCATGCCGCATTTAGCTCGGAATGTTTGCTCTATAAAAGACTTTTTGATCAGAAGAATAGCAGCTTGCGTTTCAATAAATAGCAGTCAAGTTCCAGGAATGTGAATCAATTCGATTGTTTGTATTTGAATATTGCGGGGTTGTCAACAAACTACGTAGCATTACGTCAGATTGTTGAGGAACAATGTCTTCTTTTAGTTTTGTTATCAGAAACTCATATTGTAGAAACCGAAGCTTTTGATCAGTATAGTATTCCGGGATATATTGTTGCTGCTGGTTTGTCACATTCTAGACACACTGGCGGTGTTGCTATTTATGTCAAAGAATCAGTTCAATTCAACCTTCGTACCAACGAAGTTATTGATGGCAACTGGTTCTTGGGCATTACAGTTGTACGTGGCATGAAGATGGGTAATT